AAATTTCACCCTTTTATTATGTGTTGTTTTTTTTTTTATCGATCATTCGTAAAAACCATCCCGATCTCGCCCTTACGCGGTAATAAAAAAAAAAAAAAAAGAGAAAGTCAAAAGAGAAGAATTAAAAAAAAAAAAAAAAAAAGGGATAGAGACAGACTCTTTTATCTCTCTCTCTCTCTCTCTCTCTTTCTCATTGGAAACGAACGCGATTCCTTTCGTCGACGTGTTTGTTGTTTTCTACAATCCTACCCCAAGCCCAACCTACCCCCTTACCCCCACCCCGATAATACATATCCCCACTATCCGGAAGTGGTGGTATATCGGTAATACGTTTTCTCCGAGTTAATTAACGATGGATTGTATTATGCCGTTCCATTTCCTTTTACTTCTTCTTCCTTTTTTTCGACTACTACTACTACTACTACTATTACTACTACTATTACTACTAACACTCTCACCGTACTGCTTTCCCCTTTGCTTATTCATTTTCTTTTTCTCCAACTTTTTTTGTTCCCCTTTTCTTCCTTTATTTTCCTCTTTTTCCTCGTTCGAGAGAAAACGCATGCACTCATAGAGACACACCATCATACACACACACACACACACACACGTATGAGTATGCGTATGAAATGAAAAAAGGAGAAAAAAAATACACACACAGAAAAATATATATATAGAGAGAGAGAGAGAGAGAGAGAAACAAACGTGGAAAGACGTGTGCACGACGAAAGAGAATAAGAAAGAAAGAGACAAAAATACGAAAAGAGAGAAAGAGAGAGAGAGAGAGAGAGAGAAACTCACCAATTCAGTAATCTACCTACACTCACACACCTATCAACCTATCCTTCTTTACCCCGTTCTTTCTCCTCTCTTTCTCTCTCTCTCTTTTTTTTTTCTTTCCTTTCCCGCTATTTTCCACTTTTTCCAACACTTATACTCTTTCCATATTCACCATCTCACTCTATCCATAAGGGGTAGAGGTAGCTGGCTGCAACCTGGATCGTGGAAGCTTGCCATTCAGGATATCGACCAGCTGACACGCCCAACCTTCCCCTCGGTCCTCCCCTTCGTTCCATCATACCATCCCTCTCTTTCTATCCACCCCCTTTCTCTCACTCTCTCTCTCTCTCTCTCTCTTTCTATCTATCTATCTACATAACGTTTTATCTTTCTTTATATCTTTCTCTCTTTCCATTTCACTCTAGTTCTCTTTCTTTCTCTCTCTCTCATTTCTTTGGGACGCCACTACAACCCCCCCTTCCCCCTCTCTCTCTCCTCTCCGTAACCCCTCATTCCTCCTTTCTCCTTTCTCCTCCCTGATCACCAAACAGTTCATTTGCCAGACGCTCCTGCCAGTCGTGCATTTAATAAAGCATCCTTTGTTCTTACGTACCTTATGAGAGAGAGAGAGAGAGAGAGAGAGGGAGGGAGGGAGGTAATGGTAAGAGAGAAAGACAATAGGTTGAACAAATAATAATTACAAAAAAGAACACGTATTTTTTCTCCTAACCCTCCTTCCTTTCTTTCCTTTTCTCCCTGCTTTTCTTTTCTTTTCTTTTTTGATCTTCCTCATTTGATAACAAGTATCCCGAAAAAAGAAACGATAATTTAAGCGCGTATCATTATTATTTAATTGTTCATAATATTATCCACGCGTATTAAAAATATCATTTTGCAAATATATTTTTCTAATTTTATATGTTGTTGTTTTTTTTTTTTTTTTGTATAGGAACGAAACGAAAGAACACGTCGTATTATTGTTAAACATTTGAAATAAGAGTAAAAATTGATCGTATCAATATTTAATAAAATATAACACAACGAGTATATTAATTATATTTATCAATTAGATGTGGATAATGTGTTTTATAATTGTTAATAAAATTAATCGGCTACATTGAATATACGAAATAATGGTAAGGGGGAAAAAAAAAAGACAAACGAGAGATAACAAAATACAAAATTATTCCACTTAATTGGTCAGGAATTTAACGATAGAAAATAATTTCTATTGTTTATCAATGAACAATGCATATATATATATATATATATATATATATATATATTCGTATTGTTATTAAATTACGTAGAAAAAGTTTTAACGAGAACGAACGAACGAATCCGCGAAACCAATCGTCCCGAATACAATTGAAAACAATTATCTACTCTGGAAATGAGAAAAAGAACAAAATTTATTATTATTATTATTATATTAAAAAGGAAAAATGAAAAACCCTTCGCATCTATCATCTCAGGAGGAGATAATTTAAAAAACAGATTAATGTATATTTAATACGAATTCGTTCCTCTCGTAAAAAAAAAAACAAAAGGGGACGATCACGGAGTCAATAGAAAAGCAGAACAAGGGTTGAAGGGAAAGATGGTTGGGGTGAAGATGAGAATGAATTTCGCCTTTTCCCAACGTGTTAGAAAACGATTTATAACGAAGAAATGGTCAAAGGGGGTGGGATAGGGGGTTGGGGTGGGGGTGTTTATTTGGTAACGATCGCCTAGGTAATTAAAACGAGTCGGCCAAATTATCGTCCTAAATGATAACATAAAATGCGGCCGAACAATCGATAATATTACGTAATATTATTATCATCAAGAATATAATACGCGTTTATTTTGAAAAAGAACATAAAGAAGACATGCACACAAACACAAACACACACAAACACGCATTGCGTATACACGTAAATGATATAAAACGCACGTACTCGTAGCACGTTTTTATCGGAGGGGGGGAGCTAGGGGGTGGGTGGGGGTTATTATTAAAAGATCGTACATTTCTCTATCGTGTTAAATAAATAAAAAAAGAAAATTTCAGAATGTGAGAGAGAAAAAGAACACACGTAAATTCGTCTTTTTTACCTTTCCCTTTAACACACACATTACACGCGTGTATAATAAAATTCAAAAAAAAATAAACGAAAATCCGCGTTAAACGTGCTACGGTTTCGTGTATTTTTTAATAATAATAATAAAAAAAAGAAGAAGAAGAGGAGGAGACAAGAAAGGAAAGGAAAAAAGAAAAAAAAGGAAGAAGTGAAAATAATCTATCGACCAAAAAATAATACAACGAGATGAGTGAAAGACGTTAAAACGCATCCTTTGATCCCCCATTCCAATCGTGTTCGTTTATTTCGTAAAACGAAAGAAAAGATAACTATATAATAATAAAGGAAAAAAAAAAAAAAGAAAAAAGAAAAAAGGTCGTATTATTACGATAATATTATAAATGATAAATGAAACGATGATCTAAAAAATAATATCTCGACACGAACACTTCTATACATCCGCCCCAATCGGAAGCATTATACACAATTTATATATTATTGTACACCCGCATTATCCATTTGGAAAGCGTGTTATAAGGTATATATAAATAAAATAAAATAAAATAAAATTATTATAAAATATACATATATATATATTAGCGAATCTAATAAGGTGCATTTATTCATACGTAATTGTATGTATATTTATCGCGTATGCATAGATGCGTACCTCACGCGTTTCTACGTACACATACACACACACACATATATATATAAAAATAAATAAAAAAGTAAATATATGTATATATATATGTGTGTGTGTATGTGTGAATAAATTATAATATCTTACGTATTACGTACGATTATTTTATTTATTAAGTTTGGTAAAGCAAATATTTGTAAAACGAGCCACGAACGAACGAGAAATGAAATGAATTTAATTATTCGGTTGTGTTGGTTGTCATCGTCGTCGTTGTCGTTGTCGTCAAATATGTTATTTAAAAAAAAAAGAAAAATCGAAATAAAAGTAATGATAGGTTTGGATGCCTGTTTAATATAGGTAACGAGAATTTTTCGTTCTTTTCGAGAATTCGGCCGAATTCAAATGTCGGACATAAACGAATGTCGAAATATCCCTTTGTAAATGATCCTTTTTTCTATACTGATAAAACAGACATCGTAGTTCTACGAAAAGAACGGACGAATCTCGTCAAAAAGTTGAAAGATATATTGGAATAAAGAAAAAAAAAAAAAAAAAAAAAAAAAAAAAAAAAGAAATAAAAAACAAAAAGGAAGGAAGGAAAGAAACGAAAGAAGAAAGAGAAGCAAAAAATATACACAGAGAGACATACGCATAATATACATACACATAATAGTCAAAGAAAAAGCTTAAGGGGATGAAATGATTAAAAACGTGGGGTTGGTCGTGCGCGCGCACCACACGCTTTCAATTAAACGGTTCTTCGTTAAATCGATCTTACTTGAGCTATTCTTAATTAATACTTAACAGCTTTCCTTTCAACTGTCTAATTATTACGATCTCATGACACGAACGCGTTTTAAATGTAACCATTTTAATAGAAGAAGAAGAAGAAGAAGAAGAAGAAGATATTTTATTCCTATTTACCATAGAAATTCGATTTCAACATTAACGCTTCGACGACTGTTAAACTTTCAACTATTCAACGATTTCAAACAGATTATTTTCGAATTAAATTCCAATTCGTTATGTATATGTAACTAAATTTATATATATATATCACGTTGATAGAAATTCGAGAGAAGAATAATAATAATTATTATTATTATTATTATTATATATTAAAATTATTATTCTGAAATTATATTTTAATAGTCGTTAAGCGTAGAACACGTTTAATTTTATTCTTTGATCTTCTCGTTTGCTACAAATCCTTTTGGCATCGTTTTACTATAAATATTATTATTATTATTATTGTTATTATTGTTATTATTATTATTATTATTATCTTTAT